TTGGTGATGATATGAGACTGTAGAATAAGCTGCTGAAACACATAATGATGAATCAACCATGAAAAGCATTTCTTTAGGAAAAAGTACAATAACTAAATAAGCAATTTTCAATTCAGATTGATGCTGGATCCTATCATTTTTCATACATACACATCCTTTTTGCTCAATTTTTTGGGATTACAAGTGATAACTCCTGGGTTTTTGCTGTCAAGTGTTTCACCAAGATGAGGATCAATATTAGTTATTTATACAACTAATTCGAAACTATTCTAATTTAAATCTAGTAGCCAATGACCATGACAGCATATTATGACAAGTCCTTATAAATACCTACTAGTATTCGAGTGTTAATCTCGCAACAGAACAATGAATTAGGGTTAATTATATCAGAGGTGGCTATGTCTTTATTGACTAGTAGTTCATGAAATGAGGAACACTACATTGGTGAAACTATAAAGATAATCCTGAAATCGAAACCATCTTATCTGTTTATACAGTAAGGTCAGTAAGGAAACTTGAAATAAGGTTGATTACAAACCTGATGCTGATAGTGCTAAATTGATTTGTTTTTCACCTTCGGAGCGGTTCTAAAATTCGACACCAACAGCCAGCTTCCAAACTATTATGAGGAAGCTCAATAATATTGGACCATCAACAGTCGGACCATTTCATTTTCATCTCAATTTAAATGAGTACAAAATTTCACTCAGCTCCCCAAAACTTAACATCGTCGGGGGTCATTAAAATATTCCTAAAGCAGTCTTAAAGTTGGGCATTGGCAGATTCGTCATACTAATGCCAGTAATACCTATTAAATACTATCCAAAATATATTATCCGATTGTATCCAACATTGAGGACTCTGATATTAATAGATTTATGTATTATGGTTGTTTCTCACTTCATGAGTTTCATGACCCAAATTGTCATATACACACACTTGGTTCTCATTTATCACGAGTGAGTGTTCTCAAGGATTGCATTTTGAATCGACTATGTGTTTCAAAATACCAGATAAGAATATCCAGCTAACTATTTTTTTCGCATTCAGGTGACAATAGTTACTATGAGGTGGTTTTCAGTATGGTGTTGTTCAGCTTTCAATCTTTTCTTGTTGAAAGTTTATGGTGCAGAAATATCAATAATGATAATTCCCGTTTTGTGGAAGATTCAAGTTTAACAATCTGAAACAACTAGCATTTCTATGCTGATTCCCAAAAAAATGCTAATCTAATAGTAGGCCAATGCATTTCAAAACATGGGAGTGCGATCGCAAATTATTCTGGTAGTTCCAATTTTTCAATTTTATTATAAACTGGTATGCTTGTTAAATTCTTCTTTTCGATTTAAGCTCGCCTGTGCGTTCAACAGATATGACAAAATCTAGGTTTTCCCACAAAGGATTCCATTACGTATTTCGGTAAAAAAATTCTATTGAATTTTATGGTTACCAACTGTTTATTTCTTTCACGAGTTACTTCCTTTTTCCCTAATTTATCATGGGAAAAAAGAGATGTGGAAAAAGTAAATTATCCCCTTGATTTTTACTTTTTTTTCAAGTTGTCGACGAAGGCCTGGGTCGACAACTCGTTTAGGAAATCTCATAAACAGTATCAAAATGTATGATCTTGCATGCTTCGTAAACTATTGCCCATTTTTTAAGTTTCACGCTTCCATATCAGCTTATTATCTTACTTACGGGCAGGTAAAACTGACGTATTAAAATATTTAGGCATGCGCTTCAATAGTTTGGTTTTTAGAGTAATTACATATAGCCTTTCGAGTGAGTCCTATTCAATCCTTTAAAGGCTGTTGGTAGATCACCAATGATATAAATAGAAAGAGAGACGGCTTTTAGAAATTTGAAGTGGGATCAGAAAAATTCTTTTAATTATAAAATTTTTAAAATTTGAAGCTATTTAGTTTTTTTGTAGAAAAGCATGCAATTATTTATACAATTTCTCTTCCTGTATCAAGTACCAATGTTGTTATTGTTCTACAACTACTAGTGTAAGTTGTAAATATTGTACATCTGACAGTCTAGATAATATTTCCCTAATAGGTACTCATTTTGACATAATATGTGAATGTTTCACTTATTTTATTGCTTTGCTTAGGTATTGACAACAATGCATAATATACTTACTTCCATATAGGCCGCAACAGGCAGACGTATCTTGTTTTGTTCTGATTTGTCTATACGAATCGATTCTGAATTCTTGCCAGGTGTTGTGACACCAAACCGCCAGATGCGAAAGTTTTGATGCCTCCTTCGATGTTCGATGGTTCAAAATTCGTTACCTTGAACATTGTCGATCTAAATGGAAACCTAGTAGGTGATCTAGTAAGCGAGGAGGTACAATATTTCTGTTCAGTGAATCGAAGTTTGTCTGCCACTCAAGTGGCGCTGGGGAACTGAAAATGAAAAGAGCTTATATGTTCCTGTCAAAATAGACAATATTAGGTTGACATTCTCTTCCATTTTTATCCAAATATTTTCTCAACCAGAGCCGTAATATCCGATACAAATGCGATAAAAAAGATTTTTTTATGAGATGTTGATAGAAAAAGAAATAAATAAATTGAATCACATTGAATCAATATATACCTATGTATACATTGAGTTTTGAATATAAGAATATTAAACAGTAACCACCAGCAACACTAGAATCGTAGTAGCAGTAAACAAACAGTGCTATCTCACACAGTGTAGCTGACTTATTTTATGTATCTACTATGAAAGCAATGTCGGTAATATAGGAGATTCAAACATATATATATATCACCTGATATCGTGCAAAGAATAACTAGACAGGCACAATTTCATGTAGGTAAAGAAATCACATCAATATGTACCAAATTCTGGAGTCCCCAAGATTGTAGCTTGATGTAAAATAATGGAAGGCTAGAATTGGTAGGTAGCCAGCATTATCCAGACACCATCAATGAGATGAAATGAGAGACTGTGTACTACCAGGGAAGTATTTACCTATAATACATAATGATTTATTGTGTTAAGAGGTGAATATACATAAGACATTCATAAAATATACAAATTGAGTCGACCTTATTGCTTCTAGATTCTTTTTTCGATCATCATCCATCTGGTGCATTATTTCTGAACGTTACTCACATAATATTTCGTAATGTGATTCCTCTACAGTATACAGCAATTTGTTTGTATCACTCGTAGTTTTTCGTTTTCCAATTGAAAAACTCCATGTAGGTACATAAAATTATGAAGTAGTAATGTTTACATCTCTAAAAACATGTTTTTACTGCAAATAACGAAATTTCATTAATTATATAGTAATTAATCAGAAATATAATAGGATATAAGCAGCCCATTTTTTTCATTACAGCACCGATGAGTTTCCGATGTAACCGCAGTTCCTACTCAAATTAGTCAAATTTAAATATAGCATCATAAATCAAGCTGCGAAAACAACTTCCTGCTTTTCATTCAAGAATTGGTAGATGATTTTCATACTTGTAACTTTCGTGATAATGTTTTATCCTCGGGTTTCAACATGACAGATTTTTATTTACAAACTTGACAGAACATGAAACATTTTTTGGTTAGGAATAAGAAATGAATAACTCAGTTCACCTAGTTCCCGTAGGCGGTGATCAAGGGAGCTGACACCGTCCATGTGCGACAAGATCTCTGAAGACGAGTGTACACCGAATGGCCATCGACCTGGAAATAATCTCAATTTGTAGATATTCTTTGAATAAAACCACATCTTCATGAGTCTTAACTTCATAAAAATGGAAATAATCTGTTTCCAATATCTATAGATAGTAAAAAGTCAGCGTCACATTAAAATTTATTTTGTCTATGAAAATTTATTGTTCAACGATTGTAGTAATCACATCTAAATGTTGAGGTTCTCGTATAAATTCAGTCTTGAAAGGCACATACGTCTTCGTACGTACATTCATGCTCTGTACAGATCATTCATGCTGCTCTGATAAAGATGAAAACGACATAATGAAATATAAAGGGAAGAGTACCTAGGAGATAATGTGGCATATTTGGACATGATTTCTCGAGGAAAGTATATCCACCACATTTCTTAACACTTCCTGTTGCTGAAATTGTGAACCTACCTAGTGAGTAATCTTCAATGGATGCATCATATGATTCAATTATTAATCACTTTCCAATAGTCCTCGATACATCAGAATAATCCATATCATTATTTCACAAAGCTCAAAAACGAATGGACCACACCGATTCACTGTCCAAAACAAGAAACCACTCACAATCCTCCATTGTTGTTTATGTCTCGCAGCGTCCTCATCGGTAGCTGAAATCGCTAATAGATAACCGGTTCAGTTTACAAGTAATGTGTAGATAATAGTATATTATGTAACAAGTGTTATAAACGTCCTTTTGGTAAGTAACGAGTATTTTAAGCACAAGCGAAGCAGAGTGGAGGGAGTTTTTAATAAACGAGTGTCTAGAAGAGTTTATAAACGCGTTACATACTCTACTTTTTTCAAGAACTTATTATTTCTAAGTTCATAATTCTGAAAATTAGATTAACCTACCTGCGAACCTACAAAATAATTCGAAGATTGGAACTGAGAACATAATACATAATACTATGCAACTGGATGCAACCAACGGGACACGTATACGTGATATTGCTTATAGATGTGCAGTCCAAAGGATGCATCATGTAATGGCTTGCTTACTAACCTTTGTGAATAGAAAGTTTTTATCTGACGTAGAAGATAAGAACTCTTCGATTCACTGTAATCCGTGATTAATCGATCATTTAGCGTGGTACATATCCGTACGCTAAATGCCATTTTAGTTATGTGAGTAGAAAATTCGTGTTGTATCATTATCGACACAGTGAACTGTAATTCGAAATAGAGAAGTGTCTAATTGAATTACCTCAGATAGTAGATGGCGCTGTTCTCATTAGGTTCCTTTCCGACCATGAAGTCCGCAAAACACACAACCTAGTTTAATAATTTTTGTTTCAGCTTGATCCCCCAACATCATACGTCGATACGACTGGTGCACAACAAATGACTCAATCAATACCTTCTTCGACGATATCAGACGGAAGCTGTATTGGAAACATCGAGATGGCATCGGATGCTGGCTATTACAGCACATCACCACAGCAACAACTGGCCTTTCCTTCTACGTCCCCAGGACTTCACACCACCCCTAATACTCCCACTAGTTTGCCTGAAATAATACTCACAGGTAACGCTCATATAGGTTCATTTGTTCTTTCAGCAAACCTTGGTGATCCATAACTGATATTGGATAAAATTTAGTATTCGCGATAGATAATAACACATCACCCCACCTGACGGCAACAACTTGTACAATTCTGAGCAGTTTCTTTCGATGGATGTGACCAATAAGCACAAACAGAAAACAAATGTGAACCAATGAAAACAAAGTAAACAGACCGCTTTGACAGCTTTGCTAATACTCTGATAGGTGGGGTACCGAGGGGTTAACCAATGAATTTAAGGTATTCAAACAATTCGAAAAGCCATATGCTGTTCAAAATTGCATGTCTCGAAACATTCTGTATGGATCTTGATGAATCCGAAACCATTTCGAGAATTCACATCAGGCTTCATGTTTTTGCAGTCAGAAAAAAAAAATTTAAATTATCCTACTAACGGGGCGACCTCAAACTTTTCTAAAATTATCACACTTTCAGATATCATCCTGTAGGTCATGATTCCAGAAAGGTGGAGAAACCTAAGAAAATTATGTTATACTCATTCGACTGAGCAATCCGAATCCCAAAAAAAATCAAAAATTGGTTGATCCCATCCAAAGTTATCACAGTTCGAAAACAAACAAAATATTCGCTTGTCTCACTTCAAATGTGGGGCAGTTTAGTTCGCTCTTCCAGTTAGTTAGTTCTTTTCGTTGGCCGATCGCCGCGCAGACACGCAAGTGTTTGAAAATTAGGGAAATAGGGAAGGTATGGAAATAAAACATCGCTCAAATATTGATTGATGGCTAACTTGTATGCTGATGTACCTAACAGTTTGGTTTCTCGAGAGTTAAATATGTTTGGAACTAGAATACGAATATAGCAAATTGAAAACAGAAGATAAAAAATATTTGCACCTCCATAATCAGTAATCACACCGTACAGCACTTTGAGCAGTCTGCACTCTGCCTGTTGTTTAGTTGGTTTCCTGATCGCGGAACGGGAACGACTTTACTACGAACGAGAACACAGAAATCTCAAGTGGACGGAAACGAGACGATTCTGGAAAATTGCATTCGTATAATTTTAAATTTGAACTAATTCTTAGACATTTGGCAACTGGGTAAATCGTAATACATACAATGGGCTTATATCACAAAAAAAATTTATTTCATAATTCGATAGAACTCACCCAAACTAGCTCACCACCGCAAACCGTTTCTTGCTGTGGACTCCCTACGTTTTATAAAAAATTATTGAAATCCCCGATTCTTCGGACCTCTGAAAACGAGGCGATGATGTAACGTCAAAACCCTAATACTGAAACAAGACTATTCCAGACAGAGATGAATGATACATGATTTCTGACAGAGTGAATTAGCGCGAGATTACAGTTGAAAGAATTAATATATCAGTTGCCTCAGTCTCCGTCGGGCGTTTGGTATTTTCTTTTAACTTTGGTGAGATGAGGTTTCTACGTCATAAGAGGGTCCGTTTTCAGAAGGTACTATTATTTATGTCCAAAAATAAAACATTCCAGTTAATTTTTCGATCGAATTATGTCGTCAATTATTATTTATGTATAAAAGGATCATTATAAACATGGTTTGAGTTAAAAGTTCTACTAAGGTGTACACGCCCATTCTCTGAGGTACATTTTTCTGAATGTTTTATTACTTGGAGATATTTATTTGTTTCATCATATAACATATGGCAATTGATGAGTTGAATCTTTAATTACATTTTCATTCCCTTAAGTGATATTCCGAAGTTTTTACATTGAAGTGACGATAATAATTGAAAACTCCACACTATGATATAGCGCGGTTAGCAGGGTACAGTGGGCAATTGCAATCAGCATCCGGCTTACTTTTAGGACTTGAGTTCGGTCTTCGCTCTGAGTTCTCAATGGACTTTCAGCTTGAACACCAGGACTCTGAAGTCTTGATTGGAAATCTCTTTTTCCAATTTTCATTACAAAGGTTGTTACTCTTTGGCCTGGAATGTAATCCATTTCTTCCCATTTTATTTTCCAAAATTTTCAGACATTCAATTTGCTCACCTCGTCAATTCTTTCTCACGCTTTGTGGTCACTATGTCACTTGTCTACTTCATACTCATGTTAACTCAGTCATTGACATTGACACTCAGTCTCTGTCAACAATATTATCATGGTTAAATATGTCACATATTCGTCAGACTAATAAAGGTTAAGGTCCCTCGTGCGCTTCCAGGACCTGAACTAAACAATTTTAAAATGTATTTTGGAGAATTTTACAATAACCCATTAGGGAACTTTTTTGTTAAATGTATGTCTGTTCCTAATTCCGTTTGTACCATAATGATGTCATCGATCACTAATTTTTGGACCTTTTTGTAAATACTTGACGAGTAAGTAATCTACATTTTTGGATTTGTTTTTGAAATTTTCATAAATATTACTTACTTGCAGGTATAGCACTGATGATGGCTTTTTAGCCGAAAGCGCTTTGCGATTTTATAATAAATTTTATACTAAATACAAAATCTCTTCTATTGATCAGTTACGTGCATGCAGCTAGTACAGATGTTCACACTAGCCAAATAGCCAGTCTTGATGTACTTCACGGAAACCACTATCGTAAAGATTCTATTATGAACTCACTATTATTTAATTATTTACTTCTTAGACTGAAAGCTATTGATTTCCGTTTTCTCGTTGAAAGACTTTTCAGGTGATGACGCTTTGCGGCAAGATAGCTTTTCACGACAGTTCGTGTCCGATTACTTTTCTGAGGAAGCTCTCAAAGAGGGATTAGGAGGACCTCTGGATTTCGAAGAGATCCAAATACTGGATAGTCCATCTATTGGTATATCAGAGAATGTGGAAAATAACTTTAGATTAGACCATCGTTCATAATAATGGTAACTATTTCGCACAAGTTAAGTTTGAATTCGATTTCAAACATCACCTTTCTTTGCAGGACTCACTGCCGATTTTGCGATAAAATATTTGTGCGAAGATATGTTGACCCGTCTCAAATGTTTCTGAACAATTTCTGGTATCTAAACTAAATTAATATGTGTGATAGATATAGTAACAGTGTGGCCAACCAAATATGTACGAGATAATGAGATAAGTCATTGCTTTCGCATACTATGTCTCCTATATAAGTGTATTTCTTCTTAGAAGTTCTTTCAAACACAACATTGAATGTTGAAAATTTATTTAAAAAAATTCATTATTTTCATAATTAATATTGGGTGATGAAGTTTGCATTAGCAGTGGCCTAGAAGTGCTCGAGGACAACAATTATTATATCAAAGACTGATAAACAGTCTCTAAATGACTGTTATAATTTAATAACGAATTTTTAGAAAACCATAAGTTTAACTTAACCAAGGAAGAATTGATAGCTTGTTTCAAGTGTGATCATTTGGACAACTTAAATCAATAACATATTTCTAAATGTCGGTTTCTTAGAGATACTTTTTATAATGCTGGGCGCTTTAATTTTAAGATCTATTTGTATATAATACGTTTGTGAACTTTTTCATCTTCTCATGAAGGCAAAGTAGGTGTAAGCAACAGTTTTTTTTATATGATCAATTGAGGAATATTTCTGTATAAAATAATTCTCATTGTGAATCTCCTGTTACATTTTCAAGTAAAGACAATTTATGATGAACCAACCTAGATAGATATAATATACATCTTTTGAGGTTTGGAAAATATTGATTCATGATTCATGGAGTGTAACTTTGCTGAACATAATAAATTACTTGAAACTGTTTTATGGGTAGTTGCAAGTATCATGGAACACTAGAATCGTCATGGACAATAGATAATGACAACATAATTTGAAGGATGAGATAGTGCAAATGACAAAGTCTCAAATTTTATGAGTTTCATAATTATTCTTTTGGGAAAGCGAAAGTTATGCGATCTTGATTATTAGAAATGTTAATATTATTTTGATCCGGATTTATTTGAAATTTGATTCTATTATTTTTATAATAATGTCTCATAGCTTAAAGCACAACTTGAATCAAACTAGGACTGTGGGGTATATACGCACAAAGATAAGTATAGGGGTTAAATGTAAGATGTTTTCTATTGTCTGGATGATGTATAGGGAAGATATCAATAGGTAAAAGTTTGGTTCATAGAAATTTAGATGATACATAAAAACTTCTTCATAACCATTAGGGAACAAATAGTCGTTCCATCATACAGTTGGTAAAATAATTTTATTCTTGAAGGTGTTTTTCAAAATACCTATCTGCAGACTTCTGCAATTTCTCCCAGTATCTCAAAATATGCACGACATAATATCTTGGTGTATAGAGTCCAAAGAATTTTTCATATTAGTAGATAGTTCAACAAAATCAGTAAGTTCGACAAGATTTTTGGTTCAAATTAACTATCGTTTATGTGGTATACATGATCTTCACTACGAATTGTTTCATTACTTGGATTCCAAGGGTTAGTAATGTTAGTATAAGTTAATTCTGTTTCTCAAGTTACAGAAATAATCATGAAATGTTAATGAATCATTTTTTATTAATGGTAGGTTTGATACTGCTTCCGCGTAGCGACACTAGTATTGTTGGAGGTTATCTGTCAGCTGCGTGACATGGTATCCATGAAAATGATATGAATAAGAATTTAGTTTTCGATTCACCTGTATTCTATGATTATTCCAAACGTTCTCGAGTGAAGCAGATGCACAATACAACGTTGAGTCATCTCGATAACGATTATTAATTCAAATACTGTCTGTAGGTTAATCGAGGAGGTGGTACATTCATTATTCCAGATTTTTTGGGATTTTCTCTCCTCGTTTCTATAAAATGAAAATATGAATATTATTTCAATATACGTGTAGTAAGGACAAATCAGATGATTTGCCCCAAAATGTCACTGCGTTTAAAGAATTTTCCTATCAGAGAGCCTAAAAGAAAAATTCACTAGCTTGTCAGTGACAATTTGTATTGAAACATTTTTGGAGAAGAGAAATAAAGGTATATAGAAAAAATATCAAATTTTCACTTATCTTTGGACGTTTCGGGGCCGATTCTGCTCCCGTTTTCAACATGAAGAGATTTTTTCAATTGCGAAGTCGTATTATATGTCTTGAAGCTTTTCAGTTTTCAATGAAAACTTTCAATGAAAACTGGAAAGCTTCAAGACATATAATACGACTTCGCAATTGAAAAAATCTCTTTATGTTGAAAACGGGAGCAGAATCGGCCCCGAAACGTCCAAAGATAAGTGAAAATTTGATATTTTTTCTATATACCTTTATTTCTCTTCTCCACAAATTTTTCAATACAAATTGTCACTGACAAGCTAGTGAATTTTTCTTTTAGGCTCTCTGATAGGAAAATTCTTTAAACGCAGTGACATTTTGGGGCAAATCATCTGATTTGTCCTTACTACACGTATATTGAAATAATATTCATATTTTCATTTTATAGAAACGAGGAGAGAAAATCCCAAAAAATCTGGAATAATGAATTATTAATTCAGTTTCGTAAACATATTCCGTTTCTGTGAATAAACGAAGATGACCTCCAACCTCACCAGTGCCATCTATTTCAGGTTTTCCAGATTACCTGCCATTATCAATGCATATATAATGCCTCATAGATTAACATATTCCAACTCAGCATTACCAAATTTCGTACCTCTATAAAATATTTCAATGAAAATTCGTTATAAATAAAAATACTAGCATTAACATATTCGGAATTCTCACACATTCGTCAGGTTCAAAATAATTGATTAGCTGAACATTCTCCCTTTCACCAATCGGCGCTACTGAAGCTTGAAGCTTTCTCAATGTCATAATCTTCTCTAGAATGTCTTGGAGAACTGGCTTTTAATGATTTTCAAACAGTGAGGACACACTTGCTACCTCTTGAAACATCTGAAAAAACTATAATAGATAAAAATGCTTTCTATAAGAGATAATTTGAGTTTTTCTGTACCCCTTCATGAACGAGTGAAAAAAAATTATTCACGGAAACCCAAATGTAAGTGGGTCACTGGTGGTACACTAATTTGTTATATTATTTTGTTTGATTAAATAAAAAACAATACTTGCCATTCATCGATAACTGACAACATTTATGCCTATGTTCATGCAAATATCCTAAAATAAAGAATGAATTCAAGATTTTCAACTAGTTAATCTTTAGTGTCATCAACATCCATTCAAATCATTGATTCATTTGCAAAATGTCTCCTCATTTCTTGAAAATAATTCAACTTGACCATCATTTTGGAATTTTGGCAATCAGTTACAACACATAGATATTGTACATGAACAAATAATAATTATTTTATAATTCCAAAAACATTTTTCCTGGTATACTTATTCAATATTCAAAACTGACGTTTTATATTCAGAAGTTATGAGACGTGAGGAATACTTCTTTCGTTTCATTTGGACTCTCATCACAAGATAGGATATCTTCTTCTCTGTTAATGTAAAAGTTCCACTACAACTTTTCCATTGAGAGAAAGAAATCGAGCCTCTTTATGTCCCCTCAACTTCTTTATTTTAAGAGTTTTTTTATTTGTTCATTCGTACACCACTTTTTCAGCAAACGGCCTCAGCTTAAGGAACTCTATAGGCCGGCCGGTAATGAAAGATTTTGTGCAACGTTCTTTTTTTCAATATATGCTTATAACATCAAAGTCATGATTTTTATAATTCTAAAAACATTTTTCCTGGTACGCTTATTCAATATTCAAAACTGACGTTTTATATTCAGAAATTATGACATTTCGAGAATGTCAGTGGGGACAAGTGTGTCCTCTCTATCTTTAAATATTAGAATGTAGATTATTATTTAGATAGAATTAGATTAAACGTCAAATCTTTTTATAGATAAACAAATGATGTGTAAGTATAGTACATAAATATGCATACATTGTTTTCTGTTACTTCCGGTTTGACCGGAAATTACCCATATTTTCTCAATTCAAATGGGACACCCGGCATATTTTTAGTGAGTACAATGACACCCAATTTCCCTCTTTTTTACATTTAACCTGAAATTTACATTGTTCAATTTTCAATCTAGAGTGCCATAAATGAGTTGAAATAGTTACATTTGAATCATGTTGCCTAGGAAAAATAGTTTCATTGAAGTTATACATTCGGTTTGTTTCACAGGTTTATTGAAAATTTATATTATCGTAATTATGATTTTAACTGAATTATTTCAAATGGAACGAGGGTGACTCATTACCATATCTGAAAAGGGTATTTTGTGACGAACAAGTTGATACCACATAATCAGTATTTCGAATCAATATCCAGTATCATATTCACTAGTATAAGATTCTAAATGGAGGCATCATAGATAGACACAATTTCAACAATCAAACACATTTTTAATCAATCAGGGCGGCTTGTACAAAGATGACCGTTTATAAAAATACAACATCGACAAGTGATTCGTTATGATGCTACGATGCTAATGACTAAACCTGCTTCAATCTTCGATCACACGATGATTACGAATACCGATGAGTCGTCGAGGCCGCTTGTGATTTCGGGGTGATTTGACCATCGTCGTTAACACTAGATTGAAAATTGATAAATGAAAATTCCAGGATGATAAATCTCAAAAAGTGGCGAATAGAATGTCATTCTACTCACAATGTTATTCTTTACCGAAATAAGTAAGAATATACTGGGTGTTCTATTTGAAATAAGAACATATGGGTCATTTCTGGTCAAACCGGAAGTGACAGGAAACAATTGAGTACGTCAAATAATTCGTATTTATGTACTATACTTACACACCGAATTTCATTTGTTTATTTATGGAAACAAAAAAGTTATAGGGGTGAGCTACTTTTGATAAACACGCGGTATAATAATATTCAACTCTTGACTATCTGCTTCAAAAAAATAGCATTCTATCGAAATATTGATTATGTTAATCAACTTATGCAGAGGTACATATCTTTGAAAATCTCGAATGAATAATTATATATTATATATAAATATAGAGGGTGAGTCATCTATTCATATAGCTATTTCCCTTAACTATATGGAAAAATATGAATCTAACGCTATCATTCCAACTTTGGTATATTAATCTATCGCTTTCAATGTCACCAATGCTGTAATCATTATAATATTGAAAACATATCCCGCAATTTTGATCTCCCTGAATAAGGAGCTACTTCATTATTAAAGGGCCAGTTTTCCAATATGTTGAGGTTATGGTTTGTTGTGATTAACTTAAATACATTTGATCATTGTTAGTTCAGGTTGATACTTACAATCTCATCAAAGTTTCTTGACTCATAATGAAACCCGCATTACACCCAACTGAAGTAATTTCAATTTGTCTAAAGTTTCACATCTATTATCTGTGATACATTCTTGATTAACCTTAGTAGAGGTGTGTAATAGTACCTACTGTTCCTCAAACCTCAATGAATAATTTGTATTTTGGTGTACTTCACACATTCATCAGGAACTGAATCAAGTATGAAAAAAAAATTCAATATTTAACACATGACTTCTTGTAAGATTGATAGCAAAGTTAGGCAATAGTCGATAATGGGATTATGCAACAAAATTGCATTTCTTTAGCAATATTTTTTGTATTAATCGTTTTCCTAAAAACGATTAAATTGATTTGTAAACAGTTGGGAGTGGTGCACCTGTAGTTGAATATTCTTCTTGTGTGATGTGTAATTATTTTTTTTTACAATTTCAGTTTTACTAGGATTGTACAATATTTCTGGTCAATGCAGTGCTTT